ACTGGGTCCTGGGATTTTGGACCGGACATATGCTGTTTCCCAAGTTAGGTCTCAGTGGGTGAGCCATGGATATCAGGAAAAAGCCGCAGCATCCTCCATTGCTCTCAAGGGCTATTCTCTCCATCGGTCCAGATAAACCCAGAGTAGGCAGACAGGTGAGGGAGACGGGGGAGGAACATGTGGAGGACTGAACACTGCCACATCCTGAAAGGGTTCTCCAGAAAACACCGCCATGGCCCAATCCCCCGATCCATGCAGAACCCTGTGTACTGACTGGGTCTATGCCCTGCATAACAGGTGACCAAATGCTGTTGTTTGAAGGTGCTTCCCGAAGTTTGGATGTTAGAAATTTATGCCCCAACATCCAAGTGTTGGGAGGTGGGAAGTGTCTGGGTCATGAGTGCTTCCCTCTTAGGAGGGGATGAATGACGTCATTGCTGCCGTGGGTTAATCCTTATGAGATAAAATGATGAGTTTGTGCTCACCCCTTCTCCCTTGTGCAGGCTCTGTTGACCTTCTATCTTGCGCTACAGGATGATACAGCATGAATGAAGGTCCTCACCTGACCCCTGGTACCTTGATACCAGATTTCCCAGGCTCCAGAACAGTAAGAGATACGTATTTGCTATAGCGACACAAAACAGATGTAGACACTTGGTATTAACCTCAAGGGCGGGTCTCTAGGGACAAGGGGCAGTCAAGGTTGGGCAGGGGCCTGTGGGGATCACTCCTACAGCAGATGCTTTGAAAAGAGTCCCTAGCCATTCCAAGGCCTAAGCTGCACGGATGCAGCCAGCCTTCAGACTCGTGTCTCCCTGTCTTGACCCCTCCATGACACATGAAGACAGCCTCACCAGGATGGCCAGAGACAGCACGGTGAACCGCGCAGCTTTTGAAGAATGGAAAGGCGGTCAATGTGTGTATGCACCTTGGAGTTTCTTAAAAAAAAAAAAAAAAAAAGCACATATATGTATCTAGAGGGTGATATGGATCCAGGAAATAGCCTTCCCTTTGAGCTCATTCCCCATTGATTGAAGGTTAATAGCGAGGCATTATTAGTTTAATTTCACAGTCTAATCAGTTTCCTGCTTTATCGATCGAGAGACTCTGAGCAATTGTAATTGTGTGAGGCTGGAAGGTAAGACTCCCGGCCGAAGGAGGTAGAGCCAGTGGCTCTCTGGGCTCAGACACATGCCCAGGTAGCTCCGGGCTTTTCCTGCACAAAGCTCACCTGGCATGGGCCATGCCACCCAGACACCACCTCCCTGCAGACACAACTCTTCTCTCCTGGTGAGCCACAGAAACGTGAGGCGTCTCTAACACCCCACAGGAATGACCACAACCCCGAAAGCAGCCCCTCGCCCCAATACCGCACCAAGCCTGACGTCCCCTCGAGTGCCGTTCTGAGCCCCACACTGGCCCAGGGCCTCCTTGCTAAACCCTCTGTCAGCAGGGCTCCATCTGTGCGATAGAATTTTTTTTTTTTTGTCACTTTTTCAAATCAGAATAGAAACAATTTTTAGTCTATAATTATCATTTCTTTTCTCAACAGACAAATGTTTCCTTTTAAATTGTAGGGCGGAAAAAAGCAAAGGACAACATTTTAAACCAAAAAGAAAGACTAAAATTAATTCCTTCTTTATAGAAAAATAAAATACAACAGCTCTAAGAATGCCAGGTTTTCTTTTTTCTTTCTTTTTTTTTCCCTTTTTCCTCCAAAAGAGCAACAGAACGCCACAGCTGATTCGTTGCTGCTGGTTAACGTCCAGTTTTGAGAAGCAAGTCCCCCCGGGAAGGGGCTAGCACTGTCTGCAGACCACTTCTGGCTTCTGGTGTCTGGGTTTATCTGGACCAATCACATAAAGCCTTTGGAGTAGGACACCAGTTTAGGATTTGGGATCTCAGGAGTCAAGCCAAGGCCTGGGGTCTACCTAATTCTCTCCTGCAGTCTCAGGATGAGCACTTACTCCCCCCCCCCTTCTCCGGGCCTTCAGATAAGGATCTTTCCAGTGGGGGCCCTACTTAGCTTACAAGGCTATTGAGGGTTGTTTTGGAGTTTAAAAGCAAGCCCTGCCGCCTTCACCTGGCAATCAGCAGCCGCTAGACTCACGACGGAAACACCACTTCTAAATGCCTAAGTCTGGCAGCCTCCAAGACCTGCTGACCCTCTCTCTAAGCCAGCAGATTTCTTCGCCCTGCAGGTATGCAAGCGGGGAGCTACTGAAAGACATGCAGGGATCTGGACAGCACCCCAGTTCTTATCCCCGGATGATGCAGGTAACTTGTGTTAAAGGCCACCCTGTCACACAGCAGGTCACGTTTAAGGAGCCGAAAGAATCTGCATGGGCTGGGGCTGAGTCTGCTCGGATAAAGGAGTACAAGTCAAGGCAAGGACTACAGTCAGTCTCTCTGTCTGTCTGTCCATCCATCTGTCCGTCTCTGTCTCTCTTTGTATGTGGTCTGTGTCTTGGAGTCCATGTTAAGAAGTTTGGCTTGAGAATAATGGGTCAACAGAGGACCAATGATCCAACCCTACACCCTCCCTCCAGACTCATCAACAGAAAGCCAGCTCTTACACGGGCCCACTATACCAGTGCCTATGGTTGCGGCTGATCCAACCAGGTGAGCCCTCAGCATCAAACCCCCATGGGCCCCCCATTCCCAGAGCTGTGCTGGTAAACATTTAACACCCAGCTGTGCTGGCGACAGGAACAAAGACAGAGAAAACCCACTCCGCCCCTGACTGGTAGCGTTCACTAGCCTTGGCTGCATAAATACTCCCACTGTGGCCACGTTACACTACCAGCGTGATGGTCCTGAACACGGAGCTGGGCAGAGACATTGACAATAGGCTCAGGGGAGCCAGTCAGGCCAGCTCTACCCCCCAAATTCTAGCTCATTACACTTGAGAGATTCACCTGTGACCTGGGTTCAGGGCTAAAGATACTAAGTCTGCTGCTGCAACCAAGAGCATCTCAGGAAATTCTGGAGGGTAAGGAGTAGACCAGTCACCAGGCCACCATGCCCCTTGTGTCTCTGTATTGACCTACAGGCATTTCCTGCAGCTGGACAAGCCTCCCTAGAATTCCTGGATTTTCACACTTGTTACTGCTCAGCTTACCTGCTTAGGTCTCCGAAGAGCTCGCTGCTGCCCCAGGACCTTGCATCACCTCCAAGTTCCTGGTCACAGTTTTCCTAGCCAGGAGCGCAGCTTTGGCAACCCCTCTGCTGCCGGGCGGGCCCTCCTGCAGTCCCTGCCACAGCCCAGTCTCCTTCGAGGGCACGCAATGTCCCTCCTCTATAAATGCCTAAATACCCACAGTACCCCCTGTTTGTAGGTAATGAACCCCATGGTGATCGGGGGCATGCCTCAGCTTCCCTGTATATGCCACGCAACGTCTTGATATAAAACGAAGACTCTGGAACCTTCTGCTTCGTGACATAAACACTCCTTAGGGTAGACTTCTAATTCAAGAGTCTTCTGGAAATGTCTTTACCTCCTGGCCTTTCCCTGCCCTATCACACCAAAGGAAGCTGGCATTGGTGTCAATATCTACGCTTAAGGACAGAATGTCCATTTCCCCAAGGATCTTGGTGGCGTCACTTGCATGGCCAGGCAGGGCCAGACAGATGGCAAGTTACACTGAGAGGGACCTCATGCTGCCCTAGGCTGCAGCTGAACTCACCTGCAAAAAACTGGCAGGGACCAGAACACAGACACTGGGGCACTGTAAGGAGCCCAACAGGTGGAAAAGACAACTGGGTACTGGGTACCTGATCACTTTCTAAAAATAGCCAGGTGCCCGGCTCCGCAGGCTCCCTCTGAGCAAAGGCAGGGCCCCAGGGCCACTTAGAGGAGGGAGCAAGTCTGTTCCTGTACCGTCCCCTCTCCAGGCAAAGTAGACGCTGCCCCCTCAGCCAGCATAAAATATCTAGTCTGGGGGCTGGGGGGGGCCTGGCCCTGAATCTCCTCCCCGCTTCAGCTCCGTCCCACTGCTTGGCCCGAAGGAACTGTCCCTTGGCTGCTGGGTCATGTGGGAGAGGGCAGGAGACAGGGCATGAACAGATGCCAGTGAGCTCTGGGCAGTACTTCTTGGCCAAGGGATCCGGGAACACAGACATTCTCCTCAGACCAAAGGCACTGACAGCATCCAATAGAAATGCCACGCTCTGTGGTCACGTGGTACAGCAGAAAAGAAGAAAGGAGTCCTCAGGACCCAACCCCATCCTCTCCACTGCCCTCCTGGCTCAGGAAAAAACAACGGACAATGGAATAAAGGGGGGGGGGGAGGTGTGTTTCTCTCCCAGGCCCAGGTCTGCCTCTAGCCGGAAGCCTCAGAGACCAGGTTTCCTTTGGCCCTTTCCTCCTTCCTATGTGTCTAGACAGGAATACTTAGCTCTCAGCACCTAGAGTCAGTCACGTGTTTGGCCTGAGTACCTGGACCACTTGGCCTGCTCAGGGAAGTATTATACAAACAGAGCTCTTGAAGTCAGGGTGTAGATTCTTATAACATCCCTAAGTCACCGAGCGGAGAACCATAATCTGAGTTGGGATGAAAATCACAGGGGGAGAACTTACTTTTCAGCTGCAACCGGGGCAAATCTACGTAGCCTCCCTTGCTCCCCGACCCCATGGAGCGTGCCTCCTGGCTCCGCTTAGAAGCCAGGGAATAAAGAGGCTCTGTCTTCTTGTAATATTTCCAAACCACACGTGCCCCTTTGTACTGTGAAGTCCCTCAGAGACTTTGGACTTTTAAAGTCCCTCAGCCTTGTTGGGACACAGGAAATGCTTGCCCTCAAGAGCTGGTGTGCCCCCAGCTAGCAGCAGTAGGGGGTCCCTCCACCTGCTCTAGCCCCTCTCTGAGTCGAAGGCCACAAACACCCGGCCTCACGTTCCTCCCCTCACGGACTATACTGAGATCATATTGCCGAAACGGGACACCCGCCCTCTCCTGCCAGCCCTGGGCCACCCTGGCACCAGCGTGCTCACGGTCACCCACCCATGAGCCGTGAACATCCATCACCGTGATTCACAGCTGCTTTTCCCCTCGGCACCTCTTGATCCAGGGCAGGTCGGCACATCACTTCAGGGGCTGACACCTCCCATCTCCCCAGGCGGCGGCGGCGGCGGCAGCAGCGCTCAGAGCTGGCGAAGCAAGCAAGCAAGCTCTCAGCCCTTGCGTCTCTTCAGCCCTCCTGGCCGCTCTGGGTTTGGTGTCGTGGAAAGAGAGATGCAGATAAAAAGCCGGGCACTCCAGTTTGGGCGGGTTCTGCGACACCCTCGCACCACAACAGACAACCGCCTCCCTGGCCTGGCGAAGGGTTTCCTTTACTTGCCTCAGGGAGGTGAGGAGTAGGAGGGGGGAAATAAATAAATAAATAAGAAAGCAAATAAATAAATAAGTATAAAGCGAGCCCTGAGTGAGGAAGGGTTTCTTCAGAGTAAAGCTTTGACTGAGGAAATCCATTATCATTGCAGTACAGCTCCGAAGGTGGCCAGGCAGGATCCCCAACAAGAGGCACAGTTCTGCCTTCACCAGCCCTCTCTTGGCGAGATAAGTACTTACTTCAAGGTTCCCGTTTTTTTCTTTTTTCCTCTCTTTGGTCAAAGGAATTGCAGAAGCATGCCAAGCCCCAAGCAGCACCAACAGCGAATAATCGCTTGGAAGGGAAGCTTGTTGAAATGAGTCTTCGCTGGGGACAAGGTCTGCTGGCAGGCTTGGCCTATAAATCACCGTGCCCTCCTCGGCTTACTGGCTCACACCGAGGGATGAACTCGGCTGGACTCTGACATTTCCTAGCTTCTCAGACTGTGCCTTGCACACAGTAGGTGTCTGTTCTTTGTTTACGGAACTGAGTAACCGTCAAGGTAGCCGAAGGGGGGCAAAGCCATGTCCACTAAGACAGTCACTATTCGAAGCCTAGGCGAGGGGCAGAATCCAAATCAGACTCAGTTCCTGTCTGCAGCTCATTCTTGCCAGCCTTAGCCGAACAGGATTCTGGGGAGAGCCCAGGGAGGTTAGAATGAACGTACTTATTGTATTATGTTGCATTGGTGATAAGACTAAAATTGTGGGAGTTTTTAAAACAAGACTCCTGTGTTCTCTGTTTTTTTTCTCATTTGCACTGGCAAGGGCCTGGTTTAGCACTTATGTCCTTTGCTTTGGAATGGAGGAAGGATCATAGACCGTTTGGAAATGTACTCTTCAGATACTGTGTTCCCTTTCTGTTCTCCCTGTGGGACGCGGGTCTCCTTCTCACGGATGTGCTACGCTGCTCTGGGCTGGCAACCAGGCGCCAAGTGTTCCGAGCTGGGGGTTTTCTGAACAAAATGGAAACTGATACCGGTAAAGGAGGAGTCAATGGGAGTCAGAAGGCCAGGCAGTTCAGGGTGCCTGTGTTATTCCCAACTCCCTGGTTCTGGCATGCTCCTCTCCTTCTAGTGCCCATGAACACCAGAGGGCAGGCACGAAGTTCTCACCCTGTTCTCTGGGGACAGCTCCAATACTTCTTTCTACATGCAGTTGGGGATCCCGGAATGGTATTCCACACAATGACAAGTCGAGCCCATACATCCACATGCAGCTTGTCCCCTCCTCTGCAGGACCGTGCGCGAACCTTGGGGGCTGCTCTGGGAAGTGTGACCACTTGACAGTAGATGGGACCGTGTGTGAGCTTGGAATCTGAGAGAGCAAAGGGCTGTAGTCTATCCAGAGAGAGCTGACTCTATCGTCAAGAGTAAGGACCATGTAACAACGTCAAGGCTTGAGTCCAAAGAGGTGAAGCTCCCTCCCCAGAGGCTGGCCATTGAGCTCTAGGAGGGAAGATAATCAAACTCCTATGACCAGACTCATATCATTTTCTTATTAAGCTTTTAAAAAGCAAGACGTATCTAATATGTTCAAAATGAAAAATAGCCATCCTTGGGTGTAGATACAGCTTAATGGTAGAATGCTTGCCTAGCACATGTGAGGTCCTGAGTGGGATACCCAGAACTAGGGGGGGAAAAGCCTCTTTTTTTTTTTTTTTCGAGACAGGGTTTCTCTGTGTAGCTTTGCACCTTTCCTGGAGCTCACTTGGTAGCCCAGGCTGGCCTCGAACTCACAGAGATC